CCAATGCATTTAGGTCCCCTTCTTTGTTACTCCAGCCATTTTCTTGCACAATAGAAGACCAGCGTGTTTGAACAGTGCTTTTTAAATAGTTGCATGTAGTAATATCTACATCTTTATCTGGTGCCCGTTCGTCAATAGATTTCAAAATGCTTTACAAATGACAAAGGGCAGTATCAATATCCCTAGGTAACAGAAGGGGAGACCAAATAACAGAAGGGTGGAAAAGACAAAGGTGACCCAGCAGACTAGGAGCAGAGCTGGGAACAGAGCCCTGGACTTCTGGGTTGCAAGTGCTCCTCACTGACACACTTAAAGGCACTCAGTAACAAAACAGCAATTGTGGTAGCTGCTTTATTTTCCTAATTAGTTTTGCTTTTAATCAAAGGTAAAACTATGTAACGTGACTGTCTATATGATATAGATTACTCTTGTGGTCCTATCTCACCCTATAGATCTGCACTTCTGTGTGACTGGGTGTTGTCTGCTGTTTCTGCATATAGTATATTCAGTGGCTTGCTTGTTTTGTTTTGTTTTGTTTTGTTTTCTTCATTACCCTCACTGGTTCTTTTCTAAAAGCTTTATTTTCTTAATTAAATGCCCTTGTATTTTATATTTCATGTTAGCATCCTGACTGAAGTAAATAATGAACAGTTATAAAATTCCATTTTATACACCAATAAATAAAACAAAATTAGTGGATTACTCTTCTAGGTGGATCTTGTAGCACCACCTAATATTAAGGTTTCATGGCATTTCCCATTATGAAAACCTGTTTTCAGTTGCTTATAGCTTTGTCAAATTTCTAACCATTTGGGCTGAAGTTTTCCCTGCTAGGTGTCTGACCCAGGCTGATTATTTGTAAAGTTCTACAATCCCCATTCTTTGAAACAGGGGTTTAGGAGGTGGCATTTGTGACAGGGCTGTGCTTTTTGCTGTCCCCATTAAAATTTGCTGACATGTGGCCAAGTTATCAAACTGTAAAATGTCAGTTTGCATTTGCTGTGTAGAGACGTTATCATTTTCCCACCTAAACTTTTCTAAGATTCCATCCTCATTGAGCATGGTCCCACCATTGAGCAGACTGAATCCTCATAGAATAAATGAAGCTAGTCCATCCTCTTACACTTCCCAAGTGTGACCAGGCTGTGCATGGCATGTACCATCCCCACAGAGATAATGAGAATGTTCCAGCTCTGGGCCAGAGGGGCAAAGGCGGAATTTCCCTATAATGGCTGCTCCCAGGCAGTAGAACCACGAGCAAACAGACTGCGTCTGAATGCAATGGACTGACTGAATAGCTATTTTGGGACTTGTATACCATTACTAGTAACAAATTTAATTGCTCTAAACACTGTGGCCAATCCTAGGATTTGGCCAATTCAGAACGAGAAGGCCTGGGGCAAAATTAGCTGGATACATACTTCTCCATTTCTGTAATCCTGGGGAACCAGGAGCCAATTCAACTACACCAGAGTGTGTCAGAGCAGCCTCAGGGCTGGGTTGCTGCCAGGGAGCATCGGTGTTCTGCCACACATTTTCCCTTTTGGCCATGTGGCCGCCTCACCCAATCAGTGGAGAGCTTGGGAAGGGCTGAGGTAGAGCCGTTTATGCCAGCTTTACCTCACCTGAAGATTTCCTCTACTCATGCTATCCAAGCCAAGGAGAGGGCTTTCCAGGAATGGTGGAAAAGAGCCAGGATCTGGGTACACAATATTTAGAACTTTATCTGCTTTAAGAATAAATTTAAATAACTAATATTCTCTCCCTAATTAAAAGCGCAGTGGATTGTTCAAATTGCCAAAAATATATAAGGAACCATTCAGGGTCTCTTTCTAATGGTAAATTAACCACATTCTAAAATGAAACCATTAGGAAACCCACTTACGAGAATAAACATAGCAATACATATTGCAAGCCTCAATATTAACAGAATGCTGGAAGTGTTTTAATTTTACTTAAAAGCTTCCTTTTCACTGAATCACAAAATCCAGTTTTGGGTTGTTGGGGTCTTTTCCTGTGCCAGTTTAGTACTAGTATTTGTAAAATTAGCTAGTCAGTAAGACACACCTATTAAACAGGTTACGTAAGTGAGCACTATATTGCTTAACCTACCTTTGCACTATTTTCAAAGATGAAAAACACCACCTCTACCCAGAACGGCTATATTAAAATACAGTATTTGTCTCTTACTTAGAACCCGCCACACCACACAGAAGAGCAGAGTGAAGGAAACGAAGGCCCAGTTCCACTCATGGTTCCTTCCAACTGTGGAGACTCCCATGAACACGAAAATCAGGGTCTCGCTGACACTGCTCAGCATCTTCATGAAATACTTTATCGTTGTGTAGGAATTCTGGGAAACATTCTCCTCCACATATTTTTTCATAGTCACTGCACACGCTGTCATCCTGTTCATTCAGAAACATCATTTAAAATGTTAGATATTGGCAATGGTCATCTGTGTTTATTATCTTAAAAGAGAGAGGCTCCTCTTTTCAATCCTGGCTGAAGACTATAATAGTTGAATCCACACAATCTACTCATCTCCTTATTTGGGCCCACCTATGGGCCACATTCTGAGACCTTTCGTTATGCAGTATCTTCCTCCTCAAATGGAGCCACTAATTTCAGTGGGACTCCTTGAGGCATAAGGGATTGTGTAATGATACGGATATTGAATGGAAGAGTGCCAGAATCAGGCTAGCTAGTATGTATATCCCTCATTAAGAAGAAGAAAAGGAGTCAGAAAGTGGAGTCTGGCTCCAAGTCATTTTTGCTTTGAATGCATCACAAATACCAATGAAAGGGCAAAATTATGGCTTTGCTGCCACCACCAAGCAAGGAACAATGCAGTATTGAGCTGCCCTGGGAGCAGACAAGTCAGTGCCACAATCTGCCTCCAGCTTTCCCTCACTCTGACTTGGCAGAAGAGGGACCCTGCATCAGCCCTGTACCTACAGAGTGCTCCCTACGTACACCAGCTAACCAGCATATTAGGGGGTGGAGGCCTCGTTTCAATAATTCTCCACCCCTCCCTGCTCAGAAGCATCCAGCAGCTCTGCAGATGCTGCTCTCTCCCTCCTGCATTTGAGATTGTGGCTCATATGCAGGCTCAAAAAGGGAGAAAAGCAGACTGCTTGAATGAGACAGTGAAAGGACACTATACAGCTCATTACTTCTCTGTTTGGCTGCGTGAACCAGGCCACCATCTGGCCCAAACATATCAATAATCAATGTGGGCCATGTGCTGATACTATTACTCACACAAAAGAGCATCTTACTCACACACTGAAGATAATTAGACAATGAGATAATGGAGTAAGATAGAGTGGAACCTCAGTTACAAAAACCAGAATTACAAACTGACTAGTCATACACACATCTGACTGAAGTATTCAATCAGGGAACAACGGATAAAAAAAAATCTTGTGTTAAAAGTAAATTACTAAAAATAAAGGGAAAGCAGCATTTTTTCTGCATAGTAAAGTTTCAAAGCTCTATTAAGTCAATGTTCAATTGTACACTTTTGAAAGAGAAACTATAACATTTTGTTCAGAGTTACAAACAATCTCCACTCCTGGCATGTCCATAACTCTGGGGTTCTACTGTATCCTACAGCATGGCAGATCCTGTGTTCTCTGTTAAATCAGCAGTCAAACATTTTCTCAAGAATTCCTCATTTCCGTCTTGTTTTCCTCAACTTAAAGGACACTGTAAATAAATAAGCAGATTGAATACTAAACTAACAGTCCAGCATGTCAACTAGCTGATTTCCATCTATATCACTTTAGTTCTATCACCCTTCTACATGGCAATATTTTTCTAATCTTGAGTGCTCAGAATATTCTGAGCGCTCCTCAAGTCTCCTATTTCTTCCAAAAAGACAAAGCTGTAGGGTATTGCAGAGGAACAGAGACATTCAGCAGGTCCAAGGACATCCTAAGACAAGATCAGTAGACATTAATGTTTAATACTGATGACTTTTCAAGATATATGCATAATACATTTTCATAACCCAAATGCAAAAATCATCAATAATCAATGGTGCAATTGTAAATTCCCATCTCTAAAACAAGCAATAACATATGCAATAGGCTGCTAAGAAGAGTAAACCCTGATTAAATTATTATTTTATTACTTTCAATAAATTAATGCAATAAGATCCATGTGAAATAAAGTTTATATAATGAACATTCACAGAGGTGATTTGTATGGTACAAGAAGACTGATCAAATCTATACATGAATAATAAATTAATGTTCAGCTCTGATAGGCCCTGATCCTGAAGCCAGTGAGAGCTTTGTCAATTACCTATATATTATATATTAATGGGCAGAACATGGACCAGGATCTGGGCCACTTTGCTACAGGTGTAAATACATACACAAGGTTTAAAACAGTGGAGAAAAACTGGATTAGAACTATATATATGTCAATAATTAGATTGGAAGAAGAAGCATCTTAATATTGCTTTATAAACACATTTGGGAGTATGAGGCAAGGCGCTTTATATCTAATTAAACAGTTGGGTTAAATTTTCAAACACAGGTGCCTCAGAGGATCCTGCAAGATATGTGTGCTTTCCGTTGAGACTGTGAACTGGTGTTTATAAACTAGTCAGAGTCTGAAACATGCAGTGAACAGCTAAGGTAACATTTTTGCACTCATAATGACACTTGTTCAAACATCTGTCCCCACTAAGAGAGAGTCCTCTTTGGACGTAGCCTTCACTTTTTCAGGGACACTAGGCTTCGTGAAGTCCCATCCCCACTCATTCATGTGCACTCAGGGCAGGAAGGAAAGCCCTGGTATTTGCCAGCCCAGGAGCCAGAGACTGGACTCAGCATCAGTCCGCGGAATTATCTTCAGAATTGGTGATGTCATCAGTCTTCTACTTCCATTTTTACTTTGGTATTTTTTCCTCTCCATTAATTGGCTCACGTTCCCTTTGCTGCGCCTCACTGTCTCTGCCTCCCTGCACATTTCCACTCATCCCTCTATCCTTTCCCTCTTCTTTCCTATCCCTGTCCCCCTCGTCTGCCTCCTATTAATGTACCCACTTTCTCTTCCTTTGTGTTTACTATAAAATACTGTCCTTTATGACCTTCCCTCTTCATCTCACACTTGTACATTTAGAACACAATTGGAATCAGATCCTCCGTGATAGAACTAGTTCTAGATTACTGTAGTCAAAAATCTAGCTTTTAATCAATGGAATCATTGCTCTTTATGGAGCTCAGAGTATGCACTGACAAGTTCTTTGATGGCTGCTGAGTCTGATGCAGGTAGGGCACACCCATGCACTAGCGATGTTGTGAATCCGAGCAGCAGATTCTTTCTTGCACTGATGCCAGTTATCACAAAGCTTGATCCAGTCTGCCTGACAATGCCTCACTCCATCTACAGGTTGAATACATCAACCAGAGCGGCATTCTTTCCAAGTCATCCAAAGTGATTCCAAAGGACACTAAATCCTCTTTGTAAGCATTCTGAAATCTGTGCACAGGTGGGCAATAAGCAGCCTGTGGGCCACATGTGGTTCACCAGAGTGAGCACCTGGTTGGCTGAAAGATGCTTTATTTACTTGAGCATCTGTAGGCATGGCCACTTGCAGCTCCAGTTGGCTGGAGTTTGCCATTCCCAGCCAATGGGAGCTGTACAACACAGTGGCCCAGCCCATGCCACTTCCCATAGCTCCAATTGACTGGGAACAGTGAACAATAGCCAATGGGACCAGCAAATGGCCCATACCTGGAGATGCTCAGATAAACACAGCATCTGGCAGCCTGCCAGGGGCTAATCCTAGCAAACTGTATCCAGCCTCTGGGCCATGAATGGTTATTGCCCACCCTTGTTCTAGACCCTTCAGGAGCTTGAAAGTACAGTACACTCTTTGGCATCCTGTAATCTGGCATTTGCTTGACTTCTCCAAGCCACCTAGTTTTTTCTACTAATCAACATTCCCTTGAATGACATACCAGCAAGAGTGAGCACTTTCACATTTGTCATCCTGTCTTGGCCTTTAATATGCACACTATAAATATCCAACCATCCATATGTATGCATGTGTGTGTGTGTGTGTGTGTGTGTGTGCTCACGTATATACGCATGTGTGTTTAATGTTTCTGAGTTTTATATTTGGGCCAGATTTAGTTCCAAATTCAAAATTAATATAGATATAACCAGGGCTCGACAAACTGCAGCAAGAGCTACTCGCCAGCCCCGCACCACGCTTGCGCTAGACTGGCACTGCGCATGCGCGCAGCGCCAGTGAATGGGGCACATGGAGCAACCCGCTGAAATCTATTCGCCATGGGCGAGTGGAAACATCAGTTTGTCGAGCCCTGAATATAATTCCATTTCAATCAATGGAGTTACAATTGATATACATTGCTCTAACTGAGAACGAGATTCTTTGTTCTTTTGACATTAACAATGTTGTATATAACTACATCCAGTGTTCCCTCTAAGGGGCATGCCTGTGCAGGTGTGCACCAAGAATTTGCCTCCCACCCACCTCTACAGCAGAACTGAGCAATGGCTGCTCAGCTGCTCTAGGATAGGGCCACATGGCAGGCGGCCGCCCTACCCCAGGAGCAGCAGGGCAGCCACCACACGGCCTTGGCCCTGGCCTTGGCTCTAGTTTCAGTCCTTCCCCAGGAGCTGCAGGATGCAGGGCAGGTGGCTGCTCCTCCAGTGGCTCTGGCCGGGGCCAGAGCCGTGTGCTGGGTGGCAAGCAGGTGCTCAGGCACCCAGGGCCAGCCAGGGTCGTGTGTTAGAGGATCCACGCAAAGTGCTGTATAGGTGCTGTATACGTAGCTACCTTGAAGGCATCTCTAAACTAGCTCTGGCGGAATACCACGTGGCTTGTTTGACAGCTGGGTGCACAAACGGGTAACTGACTTTTTCTTCAAAACATTGGTGTGCTTGGGGAAATGGGAATGGTATTAGCATGTGCGATTGGCCAAGCTGCACATGCAAGTATGAATGTTTATTCTTAATGGTAGCTGAACAGCGCAGGAGTGCATATTAATGAAATGGGGGGGTTGAAAAATGATGCCAGGGTATAAGGAACAGGCTGGCAAGGGAAGTACAGAATAAATGGATGTAGAGCAGGGTTGGGAAGAGCACAGGATTAATTAATTGGCATCTGTGTTTTTTGAAACTACCCACCGCACCCAGGAAAAGGAGCTGGAAACCCTAGTGAAAGCAGATAACACTTTAAAATCAATCTTCATATTTAAAATCAATCTGTTCTTTTGTCATAAGAATTTGGTATGTGTCAGATAGGACAAGTGAGACACTGAGAAATACAGGAGCTGAAATCTGTTGGAGATGCAGGTTCTGAACATCTCTGTTTATGGGATAATTTATCCAGTCATCTGACTTCAGAAATTTTGACCGTAATCCTTCTAGCTATAATATTGTGACCCAGTGGCTAGTGCATAGGATTTTGGCTTGGGAGAGCTGGGTTTGAATCCTGGATGTGTCATTGGCCTTAGACATGTTACTGGTTTATACCTCAGTTTCCACATCTATAAAATAGTGATGATTTGCTCTCCTTTGTAAAATATTGTGTGATCTACTGAGGAAAAGCACAGTATGAGAGCTATACATTGCTATATTTACTTCTTGCTTTTGGATGCAGTAAAAATAATTTTAAAAATATATAGAAGATATTTGTTAGCAACTTGTGGGTATCATGGTGGCACACATCCGAACAAGTGCACATGACCTCTATATTGGTGCACAAGACAATACTCACTCCACTCACCATTGGAAAATATTAGAGGGAACACTGACTACATCCTCTCATAACGTTATTCGGATGCCACATAGAAATAAATAATGGCACGTACGTTGTTCTGCTATCAGATCTTGATGTGTTTAAACAGCCATCTTAGTAGATTAGATTGCACATTTAGACTCATAAAGAATCAAAACTGGGGGAAAAAATGGGCCGAGGACAGCAGAAATCATTATACCAGCCCCAAACAAAATATGTTGTTAAGAATGGAATTCTGTCCCTGGGAGACATTTGAAAATTCGTATTCAATACTCACGCTAGAATGCCTGAGATGTAGAGGGTTTCAGCAGACAAATAGGACAAATAACTGAACATGAAGACAAGCAGTGGTTCGATGGCAGAAATGTTTTGCGTAAATCGGGTCATGAATGCGGAAACAAATCCAAACACGATGCCAAACAGCACTCCTCCTAGCCCCACTACAAAGAAACGAGCAAATCCAGCAAGAATGTCAACAGTTTCAATCTCTTCATATCTGTGCATCTGGGTGAAGGCGATGAATATATTATATAAAACCTGAATGCAAAAATAATAGACAGCAAATGAGAAATCTTTCAAAAGTAGATTTTACCAATGTTTTTAGTTATATGTACTACAGATGGTATTATACTCTCATTCCTTAGTAAAATTGCAGATTCAATCTGAACATATAGGACCTCAAATTATCTACTTGGCAGAGGTCCTAACACTAGTGAAGAAATGGAACAAAATGCCAGAGAATGTATCATATGCATATTGTAAAAAGAACAAGACAGGTAGTCTGGGACACGCTGGCTATGTCTACACAGCAGCATTATTTCAGAATAATGGACGTTATTCCGAAATAACAGAGTGCGCATCTACACACAAGCAGTTATTTCAACATGTCGAAATAGTGTCCAGCTGCAGGACTTCTTACTCTGACTCTTGTAACCTTTTTATGAGGTTTAAGGGAAGTCAGAGGAAGCATGCTCTATTTTGAAATAAGTGCTGTGTAGACATTCCCAAATTTGAAATAAGCTATTTCAACTTAAGCTACACAAGTAGCATAGCTCATGTTGCATAGCTTATTTCAAGTTTAGCCCTGCTGTGTAGGCATATCCCCTGTGTCTGGTGTATGGAATGTGTTATGTTTTGAGATAGTACATGATGCATCAGATACCATAAAATATGTAGCAAAGAAGATGCTCAGAAGCACTAGGATGAGGGAAAAGTAAGAACTTAAGGATCAAACTGAATTGAATTAAATTTAATCGAATCGAATAGAATAGAAACGAAATGAAACTAAGGCAACTCCAGCTTCATAGTACTCAACTTGTGGTTTAATATGCAATTACACTATGAGGTACTCTGCATAAATTATGCTTTCTGAGGCATCATGATGTGTTGAACACTAATATCTGGTTGGATTGGATATCCTCTCATTGTATGTGAATCGATGAAGTATTGTAATATTTATTACTGAACTATGTTGGGAGGTTGTGAACATCCATGGCCAGCCTTTCAGTTGCAACAAGAGAGTAGCTTTCACCAGACAGATGGGCGTTAATTGCTGATCAACAGCCAATCCACTACCCAAAGACTTCTCAGCAAAGGCAGACTCTGGGAGTGGAAAAACACACCCCAGAACCTCACAGCAAAGATCTTTCCAGCAAGCGGGAAGCAAGTATTAAAAAAACAGTGACATCATCATTTGGCCTTACCCCACCCCATTTCAACTAGGAAGAATGTCTGGAAGGCAAAGTCTTTGACCTGGGCAAGTTTGGTCCCAGGCTGGAAGGTGGTTTAGTCTGTGTACGGAACAGCTGTTAGCTGCTTGTACCTTCTGGTAAGGTGAAACACTGCTTGATTCTAATCTTGCTTAAGGCTATTCAAGTTAGATTTTAGATCATAGGCTTTGACTTCCCTTCCAGATGTGGGTTGCTCAACCCTATCCTCCCCGCCTGCCCTGCCCCCATTCCACCATTTCCCCCAAACCCACACCCCTCCTTTACCTCTTCCAGTCCCTGCTTACCCCTGCCTCACATCTTTCTGCACCTGAGCCTGCCCCATCCCTGCCCCTCCCTCTCCCTCCCAAAGCCTCTGGAATGCTATGAAACAGCTGTTCATGGCAAGCGGGAGGCACTGGGATGTGGCAGTGCTGAGAGTCACTGAAGGGAGGAGGGAGTATGACTCCAGCTCCAGAGCCCCTATGGAGTCAGCACCTATCATTTAGACTGAATTTCTATGTTTAGTTCTTAGGTAACTAACTTTGATCTCTATGCCTGCTACTAATAATCTCTTAAAATCTTTCTGTAGTTAATAGATCTGGTTTATATTTTGCCTAAAACAGTGCGGTTTGGCAGTTATATTGCAGTTTCCCTTTAAGACATCAATCAGACATAGTATTTATATCCTTTGATTGACAGAAATATTTTAAGGATTTTAATAGAGGTTTTGAGGTCAACTGAGGGCATTAGGAGGGTGCTATTGGTAAAATGGAGCTTTCCCACTGTGTTGAGTTTTAATGTATTGACTGAGTTCATTTATTACCTGAGCAGAACTTTTTTTCTGTTGTGATGTGGTCACCACTAAGGTTACGCCTAAACTGCTGTGCTTTTCCGGGATTCCGGAAAAGCAATGCTGCGTCCAAGGAACGTGTCCACTTTTCCAAAAACATTTTCGAAAAAGCAGACACACTCTTTCTCCATCCCTGTAAACCTTATTCTACGAGGAAAACGAGTTGTGTCAAAAGAGCAGGTTCTTCCAAAATTTGGCATCGTGTAGACATGCCAAACATCAGAAAAGCCTCTTTCGACAGAAAAGCAGAAAAAGATATGCAAATTGTGGTTTGCAATTTGCATATCATTTTCCGACTTACAGTTATAGTCTAGACGTAGCTTATGTGATTATAAGTTTAAGTGTTATGTTAGACAGCCTATAGCTTTTTGGAAGATTTTGTTGATGACTTCTAAATGATACCTGAAAAGCCAGTCATGCATAAATTGATCCGTCAGTTGACTGCCTGCTATCTGATCTCAGTCGAATATTGTCAAATATTCAAGCAAGAATGCCGTAGTGCAGGTGGCAGCCTACTTGTTTGGTAGCATCATGGTGCCATTTTTTCATTTTCCAGCACTTAATTTCGTTGTGTTTTGCACTTCTCTATTAAAATAACTCCCGTAAGGAACTTGTTTTTGTAATTAGGCCTAAGTACCTACCCAAGGTTAACTCTCATGGAACCCATAAAGGCTTATTCATTTTTGTTACTATTCTAATAAATTAGTGCTTTAAAATGTTTGACCATTTTTGTATTATTTCATAATATTTGACTAAAAGTCCCAGGGTACTCTAGACTGCGAGGATCTATCAGAAAAAGAAACGCAAAATGCGCTCCATATTTTGTGTACCTTTTTCTGATACTTTTGTCAGAAAAGACTTTTCCGAAATTTGGTCCATCTAGACTGGGCCAAATTTTGGAAAAAAAAACCCTCTTTCAAAAGCCCCCTTCTTCCTCGTGGAACAAAGAATACAGGGACTTCCGAAAGAGCGCATTTGCTCGTCTGTAAAAAAAAGCAGAAGAGCAAACACTTTCCTTGGATGTGGCGGAGTTTTTTGGGATACCTCTGGTATCCCGAAAAACCCTCGCAGTCTAGCCATACTCTCAGAGGAGTAGCTGTGTTAGTATGTAACTGCAATAAATAAATAAATAAAGTGGGGTTTACCCACAAAAGTTCATGACCTGATAAATTTGTTAGTCTCTAAGGTGCTGCAACACTGCTCAATATTTGCCTAGTTAATTGATAAATAATTTTTTAATCTTAACCTAGTCTATGTCTAACTTACTCTGTCAGCGTTTCTCAAAGTGGTCCACAGACCCACTCTGAGAAAGCTGCTTCAGGGCCGCTCCGGTTTGTTTACTTACCAGCTCTGCAGCCACGGAGTTTCATGGCTCCCATTGGCTGTGATTCACTATTTGCAGCCAAGGGAACCTGTAGGAACCACAGCCAATGGGAACAGCAAAGCTCAGTGGCTATGGAGCAGGTAAGTAAATAAACTGGAGCAGCCCAGTAGCAGTTTTCTCAGAGTGGATCCACGGACCACTTTGCGGAACACCGATCTATGTCTAAATACATTCTAAAAAAATTATTCTCCAACTTTTTAAAATTGTCTTGGGCACAATGAAACACAGAACAACTGTGTATTAGCAACATGATGATTTTGATAGAGACCGTGGGAGGCGGGGAAGGGAGTAAAGTCAATGAATATAAATTATCTATGCATATAATGGATCGCTGTAGGTAAAGATTAAATGAATAATATATTTTGATTTTAATACAAGTGTCCACTCAGGTGCAGCAAACCTAGAAAAACCACCCTTTCAAGTTACTCCTGTGTTTCATTATGCCCAAGACAATTTTAAAATGTTGATTATTTAAGTTATGCTATTATGTTCACAAGAACTCTTTGCATGAGAAAGATAAAAAGGCTCCCATCAGCCAACCAGCTCTTCTATTGAGCCCTTTTATCTTTCACAGGCAAAAGAGTTCTTGTGAACATAATGGTTCAATTTAAATGGCTAAGGTGACCGCTATTAGGCCTCAGGTCACATCAATAGGAATATTTTCCAAGCCATTATTCCAATTCCACAGTTTATTAGTTTTTAAGGATTTTTTTTCCATGATATTATCTTCACTATATATTTTAGAAATCTGCATCTGTTTGCAAGTCCATTTGTTCAAGAACTTCTCCTAAACAGTAAGCTCTAGGACCACCAAATTTGATATGCAGCTTCCTCTTATCATAACTTAAAGAAAGATCAGTGTTTGATTGTGCCAGGACAATGGGATGTGCCTGGAGTTTGATTGTTTCTCATAACATGGAAATGGAGGGGGCTGGTAGAAGGGAGTTATACTGTAGAATGACCACAGGGAGGGCAGCAAGGCATTAGATATGGGGATGGGACAGCTAATACCTCATTGGGCCACCAGGAGGCAGAGGTGGAGAAAAGGGACGGCTATCTACCATATATTCCAAAGAGTTTAACTGATTATGTGTCTTTCTGTGTGTCTGTCTGTCCCCCAACTGGGGGACTTGCACCCCTCCCCCAGCGATGCCCCCATGGACAGGCACGTCTCACCTGACCACAAGCTGCTACAGTGAGAGAGGGCTGGGGTAGTCATCTTCCAGGGACAGCCTGAATAGTGAACCCCTCATCCCCAGCCCCACCCCAGAGAAATGATTTACATGAAGAAAAAATATTTGAGTTAAGGATCCAAGCAATGTTGTATAAATCTTCAGATTTTCCTTTGTTCAACCTAATAAATATGTAATGTCTTTTTAAAAAGCTACTGTTATAACAAAAGGACACCAGTCATTAATGAGTTACCTCATAAGAAATGTGCGTACAAATTTAAGTAGCAAGGATTTATTGCATGCATCATTAACTTTAATATATTTTCATTCTGATTGGGGAATTAGGAGCCTGTGACCATTTCATAACAATTGGGTCTCAAGAGATCAAATTAGTCTCTTTCTTTCCCTTTTTTTAAAAACCACTCCCAAAGTACTATGAGCTGCAAAGACTTTCAACAATGAGTCTTCCAACACATCACATTTCCACTAGCACTTGATGTTCAACCTGTGTCAGAATTGTTTTTGATGCCTGTGTTTTAGATTTAAAAAAAACACCCTAGCCAAACATTTACTAAGCCCATGCTTGAATTTTAGCACCAGTAGTTCTATTGATTTCAATGAAACAATTTGCATGCTTAAAGTTAAGCAGTCCAGAAGAGCTTTGCTAGATCAGGTCCTAAGGCCTAAGTGACGTGTGATTCTGGGAGCCTCAAGTTTCGGCAGAGCTGGTTGAACACCTGGAAAAGAATTTCACAAATACCATCCCTTTTGTGTTATAAAATTCAGGTTTTGTTTATTTTTCTACTATCACCAATTTTGTGTCAGATTGACAAGGGATTGATTAAGATATGAGCATCTGCCCTCCGAAAATCAGGCCCTTTTAAAGTTGTCTCTTTGGTGACACAAAAATGAAGACACCCAAAATCACAAGCTTCTTTGGAAATGTGGGCCTGATTGGAATAGACTGGTTTCTTTTGTTGCTTCTACAATACCAATACAGTTCTCAAAGCTTAGGGTCTGACCCTGCATCACTGACAATGCAGTTATTGCGAGGTCATTCACATCGGTGGGTGTCATTTATTGAGTAATAAATATGGAACATGATTCTCCTCTCACTTCCAGCAGTGCTATAACAATATGGCTTTTTTCATGGGTTAGTCTAGTGTTTACTATCTGGATGTGATATGTGTGTACAGTGCCTAGCACTATGGGGCTTGAATCCCTGATTAGAGTGTCTAGGCATCACTGAAATACACACATGATCCTTAACAATCATAAATAAATAAGTGCATTTCCAGTGGAGTTCCTTCTGGTTCTCCTCTATGATATTCTGCCTCTGTGATTTGAGCTAAAATTAATGGCAAAAGCAAACTCACCACAGTTATTCCATCATTTAGCAAAGACTCTCCAAATATCATCATGTAAAGCTGCTCATTAACGGAGGCCTCTTCAAAAACAGCCAGCGCTGCCACGGGATCCACAGCTGAAATCATGCTGCCAAAGAGCAAGTTCTGCAGCAGGTTAATGTCAGTGAGATCAAAGGCTTCGATCTGGCAGATCCCATAGAGAGAGAGTCCGATGCCAAATGCATTCAGGAGGGATCCCAGGACAGACCACCATAGAATGGACCCAAAATTTTCAAAAAAGGGGCGAGTGGGCATAAAGTACCCCTCCTCAAGGACAATGGGTGGGAGGAGATACAGGAAGTAAATGTTTGTAGTCATTGCTGGTGGGGATTTGTGATCCGTGCCAAAAATGATTGCTCCGACTAGTGCCCCAATAACTATCAGAAGGCAGCTTTCCGGCATGAGGTTTGGCAGTCGGTGGTAGAGATGGAAACCTTGAATAAAACATGGGAAAGTGATCTGAGTTCAAAAGGTTTTCATGCTACCATGTTGCCAACTCTTCCTGACTTCAGACAAATGTTTTCCCCAAGTTGCAATATCTTTTATCAAGTTTTGCTCTCAGTCACACCCGCATAAATCCATAGCAAATCCAAAGGAAATTTCTCTGGATTTATATCAGCATAACTGGGTGCAGAATTTGGCCCTGAATATCTCCAACTCCCACCCCGAGTTTACATTTTTTATTTAATGTGTGTCTGTCTACAAGCATGGAGAAACATTTTTGAACAGCTGCTCTACAATCTCAAGGAAAATTAACACACCAAACCATATCCTCAATGGCAGTAAAGGATGAGGTGAAACCCAATAAAATCTCATTACATCAAACTCCTCTCAGTGCCCAGGGATGGAACCAAAGTTCAGCATCACAATAGGGTAGGTGCTGAAGTGGAGAAAGCCATCTATAAGGATACTCCTCTCTTCTTTCAGAACTTACAGTAACCCTTCCAAGAAGGCTGGGCAGAGGGCTTCAGCTACAGATGAGAAAGGGATGACAGTTCTAGGTAGGCACTGTGGCCAAGCTCTGTAAATTCTGCTGCTGCCAAACCCATGGGGCAAATTAGCATATTTGTTTCCCTTCACACCCACATCCAGACAAGACTCTAAGGGCAATCACCATCAGGAGAGACCTTGGCTGAATGCTGTCCAGAAGCTGCAGAGAGGTCAGGCAACAGCCTAAATGTAAGGAAACTCTCTGCTTCAGGCACATCTCTTGAGACTTGAACAGATCCTAGGTGAGCCATAGATTAAAAGTGTTGGAATCCCTGATCCCTTCCACAGAAGGACTAATCTCTATGGAGGAATCTCTACAAGCTGCATGTTTCTGACGCTCCTCTATGTTGTTCTTGCATAGGATTTCTGAGCACAGACTTTGAGCTTTGTAATTCTGCTCTGAATAAAATCAGTATCAGATGGAGCCACAAGTAAAGATCTCCCTGCAGCCATCAAAGAAATGGGAAGAGAAGATGTCACAGCTCTGATTGAATTCAGTTCCCATTTTCCTCGTGATTGTTTTCCTGGTAAGAATGATCCTATTGAATTTGAACTTTGGACTCAGATCTATTCCCACTAAAATCAAAGACTCTTTTGCCAGCAACTGCAAAGGTAGGCCTTTTCATGTACATGTTTGCATTTGTCATGAAAGCTTTGTGGGTCTGAATATCCTCTCACTAGTACCAGTTTCACACCATTTCAAGTCCACTGATTTCATTATTCCTATTTAATATTCAGCCTCAACCAAATTGAATGGTGCATGTGAAGTGACTAAGAATAACTATATAATCATTGGCAGTGCTTTGGTGCCTTAAGCTATAGACATTATTTTCACAGTTGATGGCATAATTATACCTCTTGAGCTACCAACACCCAAGGGTGAAAATTATTAGCCCAAATTACTTGAAATCATGGAAAGCTATTTTTAAAACAAAAATAGCCTTTTTATGGCAACAGTGTCCATTTCTGGTCTGAACAATTTACAACCATAGAGGTGAAATAGCAGCCAATGAATGCAACAGGTAATCCCATCTTGTACGCTCTGGGGTTTCTTGTACATTCCTCTGACATATCTGGTTCTGGCCACTCAGAAGACAGGAGTTTGGATTAGATCTCCTATGTGTATAGCACAGCAATTCCTATGTCTCCATTTGACCTAATGCACTGCTGTGTTAACAAAATAATCAGCTGAACATGAGCTCCCAATTCAACGCTGTGGCCAAAAGGGTTAATATCATTCTGGGATGCATAACAGGGAAATCTTACGTAGGAGTAGAGAGGCTATTTTACCTCTGTATTTGACACAAGTGTAATTGCTGTTGTAATGTGTTCAGTTCTGTTGTCTATGATTCAAGAAGGGTGATTAAAGGATTATAAACATTCCTTACAGTGATAGACTCCTTTATTTTTTAGATAAAGGAAATGCAGTGGATCTAATCTACCTCGACTTTAGTAAGGCATTTGATACAGTACCACATGGGGAATTATTGGTTAAATTGGAAAAGATAGGGATTAATATGAAAGTTGAGAGGTGGATAAGCAACTGGTTAAAGGGGAGACTACAGCAGGTCATACTGAAAGGTGAACTGTCAGGTTGGAGGAAGGTTACTAGCGGAGTTCCTCAGGGATCAGTTTTGGGGCCAATTTTATTTAATCTTTTTATTGCTGACCTTGGCACCAAAAGTGGAAGTGTTCTGATAAAATCTGCGGATGACACAAAGTTGGGAGGTATTGCCAATTCAGAAAAGGATCAGGATATCATACAGGAAGAGCTGGATGACCTTGTAAATTGGAGTGATAGCAATAGGATGAAATTTAATAGTGAGAAGTGTAAGGTTATGCATTTAGGGATTAATAACAAGAATTTTAGTTATAAGCTGGGGACACATCAGTTGGAAGTAACGGAGGAGGAGAAGGACCTCGGAGTCCTGGTTGATTATAGAATGACTATGAGCCGCCATTGTGACATGGCTGTGAAAAAGGCTAATACGATCTTGGGATGTATTAGGCGAGGTATTTCCAGTAGGGATAAGGAGGTGTTAGTGCCATTATACAAGGCATTGGTGAGACTCCATTTGGAATACTGTGTGCATTTCTGGTCTCTCAAGTTTAAGAAGGATGAATTCAAACTGGAACAGGTACAAAGAAGGGCCACTAGGATGAGCCGAGGAATGGAAAACCTGTCTTATGAAAGGAGACTCAAGGAGCTTGGCTTGTTTACCTTAACCAAAAGAAGGCAGAGGGGGGACATGATTGCTCTCTTTAAATATATTAGAGGGATAAATACCAGGGAGGGAGAGGAATTATTTAAGCTTAATACCAATGTGGACACAAGAACAAATGGATATAAGATGGCTTGTAGGAAATTTAGACTTGAGATTAGATGAAGGTTTCTAACCATTAGAGGAGTGAGGTTCTGGAATGGCCTTCCAAGGGAAGTAGTGGGGGCAAAAGATTTATCTGGCTTCAAGAAAAAACTAGATGGGTTTATGAAGGGGATGGTTTGATGAGATAACATGATCTTGGTAACTAATTGACCATTCATTATCAGTGGGAAATAGGTCAATGGAGGGATGATAGGAGTTACAATAGAGAACTTTTTGGGTGTCTGGCTGATGAGTCTTGCCCACATTCTCAGGGTTTAGCTGATCGCCATATTTGGGGTCGGGAAGGAATTTTCCTACAGGGTAGATTGGCAGAGGCCCTGGAGGTTTTTCACCTTCCTCTGTAGCATGGGGCACAGATCACAGCTGGAGGATTCTCTGCATCTTGGGGTCTTCAAACTATTTGAAGGCTTCAATATCTGAGATATAGGTGAGAGGATTATTCTAGCAGCGGGTGGGTGAGATTCTGTGGCCTGCATTGTGAAGGGGGTCAGACTAGATGATCATGATGGTCCCTTCTGACCTTGGAGTCTATGAGTCTATGAGTTTAGTCTAGTTCAGTGTTTCTCAACCTTTTTTTCATAAAGTATCCCTTTAAAAAAAAATATAAGAAGTACTCCCTTAAAAAAAAAAAAATTAGAAGTACCCCTAGTACCTACAGTTTTCAGACACACACAATTTTTTACTACCATTGCAACACATTTGTATAAACAACTTAATCGTAGCTAGGCAGGTGCTGAAATTTTTGGGTATAAAAAGTACAAAAATAATAAAGCTTTCTAAAACTTACAACAAAAATTCAGTTTTCTCCAAATATCAGTTGTGTTGAAGTACCCAGACTTCTCTTGAGTACTCCTAAGGGTACTGGTACCACTGGTTGAGAAACACTAGTCTAGTTAACTTAACAAAGGGATGGTTAAGGAATGACTTGACTCCAGTCTATAAATACCAACATGGAGAATACATATTCACTAATGGACTCTTCAATCCAGCATAGAGAGGTATAACACAGTCTAACAGTTGGAAGTTGAAGCTAGACTAGCAGTTCTCCAACTGTGGTTTGGGACTCCAAAGTGAGTTGCAACCCTGCTTTACAGGATCATCAGGGCTAGCATAAGATTGACTGAGGCCTTGGGCCGAAGCCTGAAGTCCAAACCCCACCACCCAGGGCCAAAACCTGGACTCCATCACGCAGGGCTCAGGCTTCGGCTTCAGTCCTGGGTGTCGAGGGTGAGTTATAGACTCCCTGCCCAGGGATGAAGCCCTTAGGCTTTGGCCCTCCTGCTCCAAGTGGTGGGATTTGGGATTTGGGCTTTGGCCCCTGCCTGGGGAGGCAAAGCTCAGGCAGGCTCTGGATTCAGTACCCCCTCTGAGGGTCATGTAGAAATATTTGTTGTCAAAAGGGAGCCGCAGTGCCGTGGAGTTTCAGAGCCCCTGAACTAGACATAGTCAGATTGGAACTACGGCATACATTTTTTAGTGAGAATAATTAGCCATAACAATTTATCAAGAGTCTCCATAACTGATAAGTTTTAAGTCAAAATTGGATGTTTTTCTAAAAGATCTGCTCTGGAAATTATTGTGGGGAAGTTCTATGGCCTGTGTTATACATGAGGGCAGACCAGATGGCTACAGTGCTTTTGGTCTCAGAATCTATGAATCTGTGAACAAGAAAGGAGTCAAAGTTGGTGCTGAATTTGATGATGGTTTTACTAATGAGGACATGTTTCTAAGAGCTGGCTTGAGATCATCAACTAATTTCACACAGGGAAACAATTGTCAGTGACAACTATCTTTGCTCCCTATATGCTGGATGGCTCAAACACGAAAAGTTCTATATCACAAGGCAAATTTCAGGAGTCAACCAATCTCACTGACCAACTACTCAATGGGAATATTCAGATATTATATGTAAACTTTTGGGGCAGGAGCTGTAAAGTTACTATATGCTTGTACAGCACCTAGCACTATGGATCCCAACATGATTGTACCATTTAGAAACTAATATATAAATGCTAATTAATAATAATGAATTATTGTATATAGGATACATGCCAACTAATCTTTGTTATAAATATGGCCCTGATGCTGCAAATAGTACACTCTCTTTCACTCTCATTCATATATACACATATATATACTTGTAGAATAAATGTATGTGTATGTTTGAACAATATAATAGGTATGTGGGTGTTTATGTTCATATGATAAATTGCATTTACAGTATCTTGTACACTGACTGCTAGTCTACATTCTGCCCATTAGTCCTTCTCATCCAGGCCAACCAGTAAAATTTCATTTGAGCTATTTCAAATAGTAAACATTTCAAAATATCTCCAGGGATATATTTCCCTCCATTCCCCCCAGCCTGAGCATTTCTCCCTCCCCCACAAAGTTAATTAGGCCTGAAGTTCAGGACATGCAATCTCAATCTTTCATGCTGCACTTACGCCTGATATATTGTCCCATTTAAAGTTAGAAACAGCTGAAAAAGGGGAGATTGCTAGCTTCCCCACCCTGGGGACAGACAGAACCTGCTTGTAGCCTAGAAAGGTCCTGGGTTTCAGAGAACTTACATGGTATCATTTATAACATTTTTCTGATGCCTACGCAGTTGGCATTATGACAACTAAGACATTTGTTTTTTCCAGCAAAGGGCATTCAAAAATAATCTCAATAATTTAGAAACATTCTCCTACATTTATAAAACAGTTTGGCTATCAAACATGTTTTACTGCTTTCTTTAACTTCTTACCTACAAAAGTTTTTTTTCTCCCCTCCCACCCCCTCACCCCCAACCTCCCACTGCCAAAAGAAAAACTTCACCTAGCCATGTTCTACTTACCTATTTTTGCAAGGGATGCAAGAAGTATCCAAAGTGTAACTTCATAGGGAATTTGCACATAGTTATAATCCACTGTAAAAATATCCAGTCTCTCATCCTGAGGAGAGCCCTCAGCATTGTGATGGTCAGGTGGAGTTGTTGAGTTACTGCCCAGGTTAGATACATCAGAATAAGTAGCAGCAGAAGGGCACTCAAGAGTCAGTAGCAACAGCAACCAGTTCAAAAAATTACCATGCATAAATATCTGAGAGCCCATGTCTGGGGCAGAAATGTTCTGTTATACTATATGTAATATGTACTGTACACATGACTGCATGTATTCTTTCTGTCTGCACTGACCCTAGCCATCGAGATTGCCTTAGGAAATTATCTATCAAGTTATCACTTTAAAAGTCCCAACATCCGAGTGTCTTTGAATTCAGATGAAGACACAGGTATATGCAGGCTTTTGAAATCCAGATAAGAACTTCAGCAACCTTGCACTGTTCAGGAATGCAGTCTCTCTTCCCCTGAAGATTTTTATACTTGCTCTAGGCTTAGTAGTTTTCCTTGAAACAGAGAAAACTAGGAAATAATGAACAGAACTCATTTACCAAATACCACACGTTAAAAAAAATCACAGGGCGAAGATCCCAAAATGCTGAACATGTAGACTTGCCCGCTCCATAACCTTGTCTTCCTCCCTCTCTTTCTCCTTCATGTACTCTATGTGCCCAAGTCAGCAGGTAACTCAAGCATCTGATTAATGGTATACACTCACTTTATTTGTAATAAACCAGTTTAATTGAAAATAGACCCTTCAAAGGTTCTGTTAGTGACATCTAGTGGACATCCACGAAGTTGCACTTTCAATGTATAAAAACAAGTCCTGAGGCACTTTAAAGACTGAAGCTTCAGGGGATAGCTGAGTTAGTCTGTAGTGTACAGGATAAACTTAAAAAACAACAAATGGTCAGGTAGCACTTTATAGACTAACAAAACATGTAGATGGTATCATGAGCTTTCGTGGGCACAGCCCACTTCTTCAGATGATTGGGGTTTTGAGTTTAGGATGTGCAGACCCAAAATAAAAACCCTAGCTACCATATTGTACAGTCATCCTCACATGCTTTTTGGCCCAGTGAGTGTTTTAATATTTCATACATGAAACAGCTTCAACAGGAGAAATGGAGAGAGAGAGAGAGAGAGAGAGAGACCCAGTCACAATGTCCCATAGCTCAGTGGTAAGGGCACTCACATACAAGTTGGGCTCACATCCCTGCTCCACATCAGTTAAAACTAGAGCATTTGAACCTGTGTCTCCATATCTTGCGTGAGTGATCTACCCACTGGGCTAATGGTTATCAGGGTGGTGGCACCAATACCTTCTCAGTTTTTGCAAGAGAGGGCCCATGATGTGCTTAGCTCCAGCAGAGGATTCTCTGCTATGAATCCCAAGCAGGCACAGATCCCTCCCTTCAGTTTGGATTTAGGAGCCTCAATGCCTTTGAAGGGCAGGGCTTAGAACTCATTCTACTCCTTGGCATTCCCTATTGGCTAGTTTAGATAGTGCCATACCTAGCTTGAAGGCTTTTGAGGATCACCTTCTTCAGAGTCTAACTTCAGTGTCCCCATACTTTTTAGAGAGAGCCTGGGTGCCTAACTGGGATGGGTGAATTCCCCTCAGTGGCAGGGCATCTAAACATTAGGACTTGAACGATGAGTCTTGTCTCCTTTGTGGATCTTGCCTGAAATGTCTCCCATGAGTTACAGATTGGCCACTGAGCCAATGGGGCTCATGCCCAGGAACCCCCAAAATGGGTACTCCTATGCCCTGACCCACTGCTTCTGCTGGGGAGTGGGATCAGAGCTTAGGGATTTGCACCTCTCCACCTTGTTGCCCTGGGTTTCCCCAGCAGGAGCACTGGGGAGGGAGCAGGGAGGTGACTGCAGGCAGAAGGGATGGGGAAGACCCACAGTTGCTTTGGCCCAGGGCCCCAAACGCCCTAACCCTACTTCTGTCTCCCATTAGTAAACAGATCCCAAGCTGAGGTATAATTACAGAAATGTTAACTTGAAACAAAGGTGTGTTCATCACTGATCAAAAGCCTGTTTCTTCTCCAGGTGAGAAAAATCAAAATGATCTCAGGTGACTTGGAGAAAAACATGACTCCAGGAGACACAGAATGAAGAACAATGCCTGGCTATCAAGCTTGACTGTGTGACCAGGCTAAACACTCTCAGGAGCAGAAAAATACACAGTACTAGTTTCCATGTTACAGAATATCATACCTTGCTAAGGAGATTATCGAGCACCTCTGTTTCCAAGTCATCCTTCAAGATTCATTTGCAAAAACTGGTGAAGAGCTCAGGCTCATTCTGAAAGAAAGCTCTCTGCGTTTAAATCCTCAGGATAGCTGTTTGCTAAATCTCAAGCATGCTTGTTTAGGTCTTTGCTGCTAAGACTTTTCAGCTTCTTGCCTGTCAAAAACTAAACTTTCTTCTACTCTGATGTATTTACGCAGCTTATCATCCAATTGTGTTAATATGATCTCTGAGATGGGGTTGAAAGCCTTGCATGTAAAAGCTTATTGGGATCTGACCACCTTTAGTTCTTTGCAAGTTTTCCTGGCATTACTTTCTTGTTTATTGAAGATCTTGACTTACGAGATATTCTTTGGTGCATACCAGGAGCAGGATATTCTTGTAAGCCAATTGCCATTGAAGGATTTATGAGTCAGATATGATGACTCTAACAAAACCTGCTGAAAGCCACTAACTAAGCCAGCAAGCCATTTGAAGGTCAAGATCTGGAATATACAGTTCTTCAGCTCACAATTAATTTCTGACAAGAAAGTAGACCACATCTTGTCCAAGACAAAAAATGAAAACTCTGAAATGTCCATTTGCAAGCTATCGTTTTCCCACTTAAGTTCTGGCATAAGATTGTGTGAGTATTGTCTAAGGGCACATTTACGCGGCGGGGCTTACTTGAAATAAGCTATGCAAATTGAGTTTTGTCAATTGTGTAGCTTATTTCAAAATAGCTTATTTCGAAATTGGGAGCATCTACACAGCACTTATTTCGAAATAGAGCACTCTTCCTCTGACTTCCCTTACTCCTCATACAATGAGGGCTATAGGAGTTGAAGTAAGAAGTCCTCCAGCTTGGCAGTATTTCGACATTATTTTGAAATAACTGCCTGCTCTGTAGACGGGGACTAAGTTATTTCGAAATAATGTTGCTGTGTAGACGTACCCTAAAGGATCAAGAACATCCTCACATGATTCTGGAGCAAATGCATTGCCTTTATCCTGACTGACCATCTTGTCATGTTACTGTAGTGCTAATATGCTCTTTGAACACATCCCAACAACTAGCAGAAGCAGAAAACAGCTGATACAAACTTTGAATTATTCCAGAAAACAGCAGAACGTGGGGAACAAGCACTATTCCACCTTTTCCAACAAAACTCAGAGGACAGCATAGGGGATGAAACTACTGAAGTCAATTTCAAACACTTTTGTAAGCTGCAATCATATTGGATTCATTAGTATGTCTTTGTCCCCTGCAGCCATCCTTTTTTTCCATTTTCTGAAAAATAACTTGTGTAAACCTTCCAGTGTTTTGACATGGCTATCGGTGAAACCTACAAAACGCTGAACAGGTCCCTAAAGGCAGCTCCCAATAGTGCATTCTGGGCCCTAAGCACTGCTCCAAATATTCAACATGGGACACTAATTGGGGCCCTGATTTGTCCATTTGGGGCAATAAATGGGACTCCAAACACACCATTCGGGACAATAAACAGAGACAGCTAAGCCATCTAGAAAAAAGCCGTACCCTCCCTGGGTTGAGACAGGAGGTGTAGGCTCTGGGGTGGGAATGAAGGATTTGTGTGTGGGAAGGGGTGAGAGGTGCAAGCTCTGGGAGGAAATCTGAATGCAGGAGGAGGTGGCTAAGGGGATAGTGGCTCAGGGAGGGGATTCCAGTCCAGGCAGTGTTGGGGTCAGATGGAGGGTTGGGGTACTAAGCAAGCCAAAGGCTTGTGGATGTGAGGGTGCAGAAATTTGGTTTGGAGTGTGTGAGGGGCTCAGAGCAGGGGGTTCCAGTGTATGAAAGGCTCAGATCTAGCGTCTGGGGGTGGTGGAGCAGGAGTGTTATGATGCTGTGGCCAGATGGGGGCTTGGTTGGTCAGGCTTCATTTTTAAATAAAATATTATGTCATGCACAAAAAGTTTCTGCATTGTTTTTATTTATGAGAAGGGCAGGGAACCTGTTTTGAGTCAGGGGTCACTGACCCACAGAAAAGTCAGTCGGGGCCACACAAGTGAGATGCAAAAAAAAAAAAAAAAACCCTCTTCCAAACCCCCTTGAAGCCTCACTAATGTGGCCCCAACTGTGCTGGTGGGAGCAGGGGACATGGTACTGGAGAAGGCTGCTCATGGGTGCTGGAGCAGGGGACAGGATGCCAGTGGGGACACAGTTCTGCAGCAGGGGACAGTGGTGACAGAGTTCTGAAGCTGGGGAGATGGAACAGGGTGCCTGGAGGGCAGGGGACAGGGTTCTGCAGCAGGAGACAGGGTGCCAGTGGGGGCAGGGTTCTGTGGCAGGGTGCCAGTGGGGGCAGAGAGTCCCTTGCACCCGCCTCCTCCCAGGACTCCCCCTCCCCACCCCTGCAGAGGTGGGAAGCCCTGTCGCATGCCTCCTCCAGGGCTGGTGCGCGCCTCCCACAGAGCAGGGAAGCCCCCATCACAGACCCCCTCCAGGCCTGACTCCCCCCTCCTGTGGAGCAGGGAAGTCCGCGCATGTGCCCCCGGTAAGTTTCCAGCATGCCACAGACCTGGGGCAAGGATGCAGCCAGCGCATTTCCGGAACCCCTGGAAGTGATGCGCAGCTGCAGATAGGTAGTGGGGCTTCTTGGGGGTGGGAGGACATGGGAGGCCCAGAATGCCTCGCAATTGACTGGTCGAGGCCTCACGATCGATGGGTTGGTGACCACGGATCTAGCACAACAGGGGGCCGTTGGGAACAAAACCAGGAGGCAACAAAATGTCTCTTAAGATGTTCCTCATAAGCACTCAGGAGACTTATAAGACAATGAGTTATTTGTGGTGAAGATGACTTCCAGTCTCTAGCTAAAAGTTACACAGCTGTGTTGCTGATGATGGGAGCTTCCAAAAGGATGCTAACTAGTTAAAGGACACTCTCTGGAGAGAGATGAACTCTGGAGTAGGGTTGTCAACAGTGTTCCCTGTAAGCTGTGCACTCGTGCCGCTGGTCAGGAGAGATTCAAATGCTGCCCAACTGATTAGCAGAACACCCTGGTGATACACATTTGCACATGCCTTGGTGCACATACAAATTTATCCTGCTCATGGATGGAAAAGATCAGTGGGAACATCGGTTGCCAATTCTCCAAGATTGTCTGGGAGTCTCCAGGAATTCAAGATAAATCTTTAATGGAACATTATGTCATGTGAGGAAACTTGCAGGAAAACATCCAACCAAAACTGGAAACCCTACTCTGGAAAAAATTGTGAGCTGTTTCTGGGGAAAGCAGACTGTCATGCAATACAGACTCTGCAGAAGGTGTGTCTGTTGCAGATGAGGCCTTCCCAAGAATGGGAGGCAGGTGTAGAGACCGTTCATTGACTTAAGATGTGTTTTCTTTTAAATGCTTTGGTTCTAAATAAACAATACTCTGCTATAGGAAGGCTGTCTGGCCACTTGATACCACAGTCATCTCTGCAGCAGGAGGAAAACTGGAGGAACCAAACATAGCTTAGACCTGCTGAGGTAACTGTGATTAGCACTAGGCGACTGCTTCTACAGGAGGGACTGACAGACTTGCCAGGCTCTTAGGCAAGATATGAGGGAAGGCCAGCTCTGTGCTCATGGGAGGAGTGGGGCCTTTGGCAGAAGGGATGGGGTGGGTTCAGCCAGCTCTCAATGCTGCCAGGAGCATGCTGAACCAATTCCCTACCAGGCAGCCTTCAGAGCCATGCAGTGCTCCAATGGCAATTTAAAGGGCCTGGTGCTCTGGGTACTGCTACACCAGTAGTAAAGGTGGTAACAGCGAGGAGCCCTGGATCCTTCTGAATTGCTGGGCTCCAGAACAACTGTCCCTTTCCCCACCCACGGTCCCATTGTCAGGCCCGGTTGCCCAGGGCCCTGTGTGAGAGTAAGAGACTTGCATGATTACACCCTGAGAAAGGTACCAGAATAGGAAGGTTCAGAGGTATAGTTAGCCCAGTAACTGATAATAGGGAGGTTGGTTTATGGCCTTACTAGCAGAGCTGCTGAGCACCTGAAATTCTCACCAACTTCAGAGGGACCAGTGGGTGTTCAATACATCTGGAAATCATGCCAGTGGTGTATGTGTACTGTATCTGCCTGAGTGAAAGGTCTCTAATCTAGTAGACTCCTCTTTCCCCTACTCCAAGAATCATCAGGATGCTTTGGTTCAATCCCCTAAAACAATAATACCTGATAGTTCCATTGGATTACAGCTTGTCTCCCCTCTTGTTCAATGCCTATATGAGCTGTGAGGTGATACAGGCTGCAGTACTTTCATTATGTTGTTGACACCCCACTCTGAAATTCTACCTCCAGTCAGTGCTGTTCATGTCCAGTTGATGAGAGCAAGTCATCTGAAGTAAAACTCAGACAGAGTAAGGTGATGCTAGTAGGTTGAGGGGAGCAAACGGAAGATATTTGGGAGGATCCCCAACATTCTGAGATGGAACTTCTCCCCATTCTATGTCAGAATAATTTCAACCCTGTCATTCTGACATAGCCATGTGAGGGGATCCTCACAGATTTTTTTCTCTCCACGGGCCCTCTCTTGTGGATTTTTTTAAACCAAAAAAGTAGTAATCTGGGTGAAGAAATTTAGGGCTGCTCCCTCTGGACTATATAGGAAAACTTACAATACAAAATTCCTTTGGAGTCTTTTTTATTTCAACGTTTTTTATTTTTTCAAGAAAAATAGAAAAACATCATAGGAAAACACAATGCAATAAGCAAACCTTTAAACTGGTGTATCCTTATTTTCAACCTCAAGGCAAAAAGAACACATACAAAAGAGTCCATGGTTGGAATTTCAAAAATGCTTAACCTTGGTTTAACTCTGCTCCCACTGCAATCAAGGGGAGTTTTACTAATGAGTTGATAACAGCAGAGTGAGGCAAATGAAAACCTCAGCCATATTGCTTTCTGCTTTTAATTCCCTTCACACAGGAAAGTCTGTGTATACAGTGTATAGTGTTTAGAAATGGAATTATGATATTATTACTATTTCTTATTAATAACATAGTTACAATTTAAGTTCTCTTTTGTCCTAGGTTTGTCACCATCTACCACAGTGGAGCCCAAATTCTGAGTATAACTTTGCTGAAAATAATAAATATTAAATATGATAATAAAAGGAAAACATATCACAGTCCCACTTGCTTGTACTGAAGATTTTAGGGTTATCACATTATGACAGTTTTTTATTCCACTTTATGTTAGGGTGAGCTGTCAATGAGATAAAAGATGATGAGCCCTTAAATTTGTGGTAAGCTGGTGGCAGATATAGGAAGTTCCTTTACAATCACCTCACCCTTTCTTAGTCTGCTGACTTCTCCCACTGGCCGTTCTGCTATTGAGAGCCATGTTAAATAACCTTTGGAAAAAAACTTTAGACTGTTTTTACCAAACCCACTGGTATTCTTCACTGGCATGTGATATCGCATGTACTTCCAGAATTGTTTGTTTGGTGAGGAAGCATTAGAAGATTTCCAGGTAACAACTGGTAAAATTTTAAGAGCTTTCTTCACTAGCGGAGGTAAAGACTCAGGCTCTTGGAACGATTTGTACTTAATTAAAATCAGTTTTATCATGTTATCTTCCAAAGCACAGTTCACCGCTGCCTGCAGTTCAAAGATGCTGGGTCCGTTGACATAGCCAGGGCTCAAGATAATTATAACTCGCCTGCTTTGCTTAATAGCTGTTACGATATCATCAGTGTAAGCTGAAAAAGAAACAATGATTAGTGCTAGCTTACACTTCGGCCTTTTCAGACTCAAGCACCAAAAACATTAAAAAATTTAAATATAATCCTGTTAACAACTACATAAATGCAGCCAACATTGGAGGAAAATAAAACTGTTTAACAGCACATAGCAATGGCACTTACACTGTAGGAAGAATAGAACATGACTGAAACTACAGGAGCATTTAGAAAGTCAATACCAAATACACAGTTTAGACAAATGATTTTTCTCTTTAATTATAAGTAGAATTTAGATAGCTTCTTTTTAAGCCAAATTCCTCAGTGGAGATGTGTCTTCTATGACAGTGAAGCATTTGACCCAGTATTTCTGCAGTAATTTTATTTTTTATTGAAAAAAAGTGGCATCCAACAGATAGCAAAACATACCCAATACATTATAAAAACATATTTAATGTGGACAAATGATTCATTTGTGAAATATATATATA